TGGTGTGGCCTTGTTGGTAGAACTATGTTACTGGGGGCGGGCTTGAGGCTTCAAAAGACCAATGCAGGCCCAGCAGCTCTCTTTCTTCTGCCTGGGGATCGGATGTCGAACACTCAGCTACTTCTCCAGCACCATGTCTGCCTTTGTGCCACCATGCTTCCTGCCGTGATCATAATGGACTAAACCTCTAAAATTGGAAGAAAGCTCCATTTAAATGCTTTATTTTATAACAGCTGCCTTGGTCACACTGTCTCTTCACAGCGATAGAACACCAACTAAGACATCCACTGGTACAGGCTGTCTGTGCTCCTCCCAAATTCATAAGTCGAGCTCCAGTCTGTTGGCCTTTGGAGGTATGGACTTTGGGGAATAAGTATGTTTAGAGGAAGCATATAGGCAGAACCCTCACAGTGACATTTGTGCCTGGTAAAGAGAGGAAGAGAGGGAGGTTGTGTGTTTGAATGTCTGTTTCTATCTCCAAGCACATATCAAGGAAAGGACAGACAAACACCCAGCAAGAAAACAACTGTTTACAACCCAGGCTGTGGGTCCTATCTGAGGCGCAATCTGATAGCACCTGATTTCAGACTTCCCAGCCTTCAGCACAGTGACACCCAAGGTGACACACAGCTTTCTTCTCACTGAGCCTCAGGTTAGCACGCAATCTCAGTTAGGTAACTCCAAGCCAGGAAGATGTTCATGAGATAGCCACACCAGGTCCTAGAATATATTGTGTCATGGTTCAGTTACCCATATTCTTTTTTTTTTAGTTAGAAACAAGCTTGTTTCACGTGTCAATCCCAGCTCCCTCTCTCTCCCCTCCTCCTCTGCCCTCCCCACCAGGTCCCCCAGTCCCCACTCAATCTCCACTCTGATCCCCAGGGAGGGTGAGGCCCTCCATGGGGGATCTCCAGTGACTGTCATTTCATCCAGGGCAGGGCCTAGGCCCTCCCGCAAGAGTCCAGGCTGAGAGAGCATCCCTCATTGTGGGATGGGCAGCCAGAGTCCATTTGTATGCCAGGGATAAATACTACCCAAGGCCCCATAGATTACCTAGGCCTTCTCACTGACACCCACCTTCAGGGAGTCTAGGTCAGTCCCATGCTTTCCACACAGCCATCAGTCTGGGGTCCAAGAGCTCTCCCTTGTTCAGGTCAACTGTTTCTGTGTGTGTAATCTATTCGTGCCTATTCTCTTTTGTCCGAGAAATAAAACTCTGTCTCAAGTCCCAACAAAGCAAGGCCGTTCCATCTCAACCCTCTTCAGAATGTAACATGGGCTTCTCTCAAGAAATTCAAGTGATAACTCAATAAACTATTTTTGTTGGACAGAGGATACATGGCAAGCAGAGAGAGAGAGAGAGAGAGAGAGAGAGAGAGAGAGAGAGAGAGAGAGAGAGAGAGAGAGCACGCCCAGACTCCAATGTTATTCCTTCTCCTACCACTCCTCAGTAGACACAAAACTATTTAAAGACCCTCTACTTTCAGGCAGAAGCACAGACCCATGGATAATGCATTCTGTCTTAGGGTTTCTATAGCTACAATGAAGCAAGTTGAGGAGGAAAGGGTTTATTTGGCTTACACTTCTGCATGATATAGTCCATCGCTGAGGGAAGGCAGGACAGGAATTCCAACAGGGAAGCAAACTGGAGGCAGGAACTGATGCAGAGGCCATGGAGGGATGCTGTTTAAAAGTTGCTCCTCATGGCTTTCTTATAGAACCCAGGACCAACAGTCTAGGGGTGGGACCACCCACAACAGGCTGAGCCCTCTCCCATCAATCACTAGCTGGAATCCCACGGAGGCTGTAGTTTTCTCAATTAAGCTTCCCTACTTTCAGATAACTCTAGGTGTGTCAAATTGACACAAAACTAGCCAACATACCATATATCAACATATTATATTTGTCTCAAAGTTTTCTGTTTAGATTAATATTCCTCATGATTTGGTGCCTATGAAATTTATGGGCTCCAGATAGAAGCCATGACTATTTCATTCATGTCCTTGGCAATATAAAGCACTTAGGGACACTTGGAGACTATTATGAAATCTAGTGATTGGGTGGAACAATGGAAAAGAAGCTGGGATGAGAGAAGAAAATAGAAACCCTAAGGTGTCATGTGTCAGATTCAGCATTGTGTTCTGGAAACGCTAATAATTCTCCCCTTCCAAGGGAAAACTGTTCTGCTTCGATCTGCTGCTACAACTCGGGTGTGACTCACTTCACTATGATGAGACCAAGCTACCAGCTAGGCTAACACCTTCAGAATGTTCACATTTACACTCTTCAGACAGCTCTTCTCTAAGCTAACAATGTTGCGTGACTCACTTCACTATGATGAGACCAAGCTGCCAGCTAGGCTAACACCTTCAGAATGTTCACATTTACACTCTTCAGACAGCTCTTCTCTAAGCTAACAATGTTGCTGATGGAATTCAAAACCTTTAAAAATACCCCCAGCTAGCCTGGTCATTGAAATGAGGGCTTTGAATATGCATTGTTTTACTAAGCATGAAGAGACTTCCTATGAAATTTAGAGTGAGTAACACGGAACAGCGTGTGGAAAGAGATTATAGGATAGGCTAATTGTAAGATGTGCCATAGAATAAGATATGGCCAGCGTCATCTCTTCTGAACTCACTGTAAATTCACACAAAACAACTGAATTCTAAGCTTTGTCCATACATTTTTTTAAAAAAAGATGATTGGGGGCTGTGGAGATAATGCCTCAGTTGGAAAATATCTGCCACACAATCATGAGGACCTGGCTGGATTGCCAGCACCCGTGTACAAGACACATGTGGCAGCATGCAGGTATCTAACCGGTGGAAAGCAGTGAAAGATATCCAATGTCGTCAGTCTCTAGCATCCACACATACATGCACCTTCATCCATATGCAAAAGTGCATATACAATCACTAGAGATGCGCACACAAATACAAATGTTAAGATAACTAGGAGCCAGGCTATAGTGGTGAAAACCTTTAATCCCAGCACTTGGGAGGGAAAGGCAGGTGAATCTGTGACTTCAAGGCCACCCTGGCCTACAAAGTGAGTTCCAGGACAGCCAGGGCTGCAGAGTAAAACAAAAGTAAAAAAATGACTAGAAATAGTAGGAGTTACCTGTTTCTGTAGTAACATTCATAGTAAATCTATTAAAAAATAAAGATAGCTATTCCAAACATATATTATGAAATCAACGCTAACAACTAACCTCTCCTGTTTTCTAATTTCATCTTATGGATTTCCAACTTTGTTCTTCTAATCAGTGACAGAAGCAGTAGTGTTATTTCAAGATCATCTTCAGTGGCAGTAAAGGCCCAGACTGACTTATTTCTTAGAATTGAAATTTAACCAGAAATTTGACTGTGTCAAGCTAATCTAACACAAACACAATAAAAATGTCAATAAATATGCATTTAATGAAACTATAAACAGCCATGTTCTCATTCAGTTTTTAATGCTGTGATAAAATATCCCCACAAAAAAAACATGGAGTAGAAAGGGTTAATTTGGCTCAAACTTCCAGGTTATGGGCTGGCATTTCAGGGAATTCAAGGCAGGATCCCAAGCAGCCAGACACATCACATCCACAGTCAAGAGCAGAGGGAAGCAGCACGCCCAAGCCGCCTGCCGCTTACCTCTCCTCTTCCTTGGCTAGTTTTCTTCACTCGTGTGAGGACCAGGCTCATGAAGCAGTGCTGTCCACATCCAGTGTGGGACTTCCATCCCACCGTAATTAAGGAAGTCAAGACAAGCCCCACAGGCATGCCCATACCCGCAGGCCAATCTGGTCTAAGTGATCCCTCTTTCTCCATGCTGGCAAGTTATCATTTAAAACTTAACCACTCCAGGCTGGAGAGATGGCTCAGTGGTTAAGTACACACTGGCTGCTCTTCCAGAGAGCCCAGGTTCAAATCCCAGCACCTACATGGTGTCTCACAACTGTCTGTAACTCCAGTTCCTGGGGGATCTGACACCCTCACAAGACATATGTACAGACTATGCATATAAAATAAAAATAAATGAACTATTAAAAATGAAAACAAATTAACCAACACAGTCCCACAATATGAACAAGTGATAAGGCTCCCTTCTCTCTCTCTCTCTCTTCTCTTTCTCTCTCTCTCTCTCTCACACCTCTTAGAACACTAGCCAAGACCATCTATGCTCTGTCATTTTATTGTCTTCTACTTTCATCTTTTGGACAGTCACAAGTTTTATAACCAATGATAGTACTCAAATTTCTGTCAAGCTTAGGAGAATGTAACTTAAATTAAGTTCACCAAAAATTCAGGCCAATGTCTCACAGGACTGTCCCTGTGATCACACACATCAGGGGGCTTCCAGTTTAAGGAACTCCAAGAAAGTCAAAGAAACATCTAGTGTTGTGTCCAGCGAGCAACAGTCCTGACCACAAAGCTCCACCATCCTGAAGAGACCAACAACCCCCCAGCCCCCCAACCCCCAGCCCCCCAACCCTTACCCCCACCACACCCTCCATCCCCAGGCCACACACACACACACACACACTAAACTCTTAGTACTGAAACCCTCAATCAGAATTCATGTCTAGACAGGTCTGTCCTTGCTCTAAGACTGCGTTTGGTGGTGGGAAGAAAAGAGTTAAATTTTTAAGGGACACAACCAACAGTTGCCAGGTAATTATCAGTCTCTCATTCCACAACAAAGAACTTGCATTTTTACCCTAATTTTCACTTTGTGTGTGTTTATGCTTTGGAACAATGCATTGCTCAAGGCAAAACAAAGCAACATAAACTGAAAAATCAACCAAGCAGAAAGATTTGATTTTGTTTCTCACCTAGCTTAACCAGATACACATCTTTCTAAATTTTCCATAAATATTTTCTGTCCCTGGATACACTGCTTTCAACAATATACTGTACTTACTGCACAATACTGAATATCTTCTGTACAGGTGGTGTAGCCATTCAGAAACCAAGAGAGACAAATCCATCTTCTCCATGGTCAACACTTACCTAGAGGGAAATCATTTGGCTGGACCACGTTGAGGAAGATGTGTACCATTCCGTAGAGAGGGCCAACAATTCCGGCGTTGAATGTGTCTGGGGTCTCATACTCTGAGGTAGGCAATTCATAATTCAAAGCCCCAGGAGTGCTTGTGGATGTAGACTGACCTCCTGAAGCAATATGTCCACATAGCCCCAGCAACAGGACACTGAATACAAAAGCCATAGTCATCCTGATCCACCAAGCATGAGGTAGTTACTGGAAGGTCAGAGGTGATGGGCCTTTCCTGGACCTGTGGAATCTTCTGCCTCCTGGCTGGTTGTAAGAGAAGCAGAGGAATGGTCTCCAAGGAGGTCATTCACTCAAAGTATTGCCTGGTAGGGAAAGAAAGAACATTAGTTACTTAGAGACTGCCTTGCCTGCCCCAGGAGCCCACCCCAGAGGATGCAGCGCGGCTTAGAGTTAAACATTTAGGCCTAATTGGGGTGCTTGGAAACCAAGCACACAGCTGCTGCAGAGCTGCAGGTAGGGACTGTGAGAGCTGGGGAACGGGATGATTCAGAACACAGTCCTTTCCAGGGTAGGGAAACACCAAGCATGGTTTAGGAAGCTGTTTGTTCTTGGAAATGGACCAAGTCTCTCCGAGACTGCGCACCAAGGAGATGAGAGGCAGGGTCAAAGGAGGCTCCTGTCTACATTTGAAGAAATGGTGAGAAACAGGAATCCTAATGATGAACATCACTACTATGTCTGGGAAGTGAGAGGGACATAGCAATGATGAGGGCAACACAGGTTCTTTCTATTCTAACAGACGCTATCTCTACTCAGCAGTAAATTCAAGAAATAAAGAACCCACACCGGGCTGTGGTGGTACTGGTACACACCTTTGATTCCAGCACTCAGGAGGCAGAAGCAGGCGGATCTCTGTGAGTTCGAGGCCAGCTTGGTCTACAGAGTGAGTTCCAGAACAGCCAGGACTACACAGAGAAACCATGTCTCAAGCAAGCAAAAAACAAGAAACAAAAGTCAAAAATCCTGACTTCTTCTTACACTATCTCACGAGGGTAAATAAATCAGCCAGCAACCTAGAAGAAGGCTGTTGACTGCACAACTCACCAGTGTTGCATGAGGCTTCATTGTAGCCTGGTTCTGAACACACAGCACACATGCTTTGCACTGTACATGCCATCGTGCCATGCAGCACGAACAAACACTGCCAGAAATGCCTTCGTTCAGATTCCAGACTGCTGCGTCTGATAGAGTGCAGTGTTTTTACTAACACACCAGTTCTGCTTGCATAAAGACATAATGATTTAATTATGGAAAACAAGGAACTTTAATATTTTCCTACCATCATTTCTTGGCATGTTTCAAATTAGTGTGTCTTCGAGTTGTACTGTGTTAAACAAACAAGTGTGTTTACCTTATTGGGGTGTAAATTTGCTTTAAAGTACGTGACAAATTATATAATTCTAAAACTGTTTTGAAATAAAATCATTTATCATCTATTATCAGTAAATGTTTAACTTGTATGCCTGTATTTCCAGATTTGTACTAAAAAGTTCTTGTATGCCAGGTAGTGATGGTGCACACCTTTAATTCAAGCACTTGGAAGACCAGGGCAGGTAGATCACTATGAGTTCTAGGCCAGCCCGGTTATAGAGCAAGTTCCAGGACAGCCAAAGCAACATATAGAAATACTGTCTCAAAAAACAAAAACAAAAACAAAACAGACAAACAAAACTGAATGTTCTTAGGTAAAAAGAAGACAGATTTTCATTTTTGTGCTAGATAGACACTTCAGGGTAAGCATAAAGTTGCCCTAAAACTCAGACTGGGAAGGGGATGTGGGGACAACCGACAACTGCCTATATTCTAAGTCAGATCCTGCTGAGAGCAGCCGGGGGAGGGAACAGCACAAAATGCAGTACAGGATTTACTACCAAAGTTTACAACAAGTGCACATGAGAACCAGATAAGCGGTAGGCTATCTTGTGCAGACTCGATGAAGACGCAAATTCTTATCTATAGGAATGCGAATTCCTATATATCCTATATTATCTATAGTCCCTTCAGATTTCGCCTCCTTTCTACCTCCCATCCTGCTCCGATTACTTCTGTACAGAGTTGCATACAACAGAATGCCTCTGAAGGCTTCTTCTAGCAAATTACCAGCTGCTTTGGTCTCCAGGTAGCCCTGTGACCCTGGTGATGGCTCCCAAGGGCTTCTTCTGAACACACACACACACACACACACACACACACACACACACACACCACACACACCCCCCACACACACACACTCACACACACCCCCACACACACACACACTCACACACACACACGCACACACACATACACACACACTCACACACACACACACTCACACACCCCCCCCACACACACACTCACACACACACACACTCACACACACACACATACACACACACACACACACACACACACACACACACCACATGCCTCAGCTTGTTCTTTGCTAAAGGGACTCAGACTGGACGGATTAAAGGCTCAGGTGCTGAGAAAGACGCACACACTTCCTGGTAATGAGACCAAGCCACAGCCACAGATAGAATCTCCCCTAGAGCAATGAATAAACAACCTTCAGCTCCCTCTGAAAATGAACAGAGGAAATCCCAAAGAGAAGAGAATACCTCTGCTCAGCAAGGCAGAGACAGAGGGGCCCATCACTTCAACAGCTAAGTAGGATTTGGTCCACACATTTCCTTACATCCCCCTGCAAAAAGTGCAGATACCTCTTCGATATTAAAATTTAAGAAAACATCAAAGTCGCAATAGCTACGAAGCAGGCAATTGATGAAAGTCAAGCAGAAGAACAAAGATTTTCTCCTCAATGTTAGTGGGCATGAAAACCCCAGGTAGAGGCAAATCCCTGAGTTTGAGGCCGGCTTGGTCTACAGAGCAAATTTCAGGACATCCAGGGCTATATAGAGAAACCCTGTCTCACAACACCAAAAGAGCAAAAGAAAAGAAAAAAAAAGCAAGGTTTTAGGACCCATTCAGATGCCAAGGGCCATTGCTGAGAGCAGCTAAAGAACAGAAAATAGCCTGTATCTCTGTAAAGTAGGCTTTGGGGCTTGGAGAGGTGGCTGAGAAGTTAAGATCACTTATAGACTTGGTCTTGCAGAGGACTTGGGTTCAGTTCCCAGCACCCACTTGGTGATGTTCAACCATTCCATATTCCAGTTCCAGGTGATCCAATGTTTTCTGGACTCCACAGGCATGCAGCACCAATATGATATACTAGCATCCAAGCAAAAACATTCGTACACGTAAAATATTTTTATTTTAAAAATATTTTAATATTTAATTTAAAAATATCAAATATTTATCTTAAAAATGGGTGTTGACTTAAAATACCGATAGCCAAATCTAACTACTGGTATGTTGTTTATTGATCTGCACTTTAATTTTTTAAACTTATTTATTGTGGGGCAGGGTGATGTATACAGTGGCACCTGAGTCAGAGGCCTACTTCAGGAGTTTCTGGGGTTGATTCTCTCCTACTACTATGGGTTCTGAGGTTGAACTCATAGCTTTAAGAGTTGTTTGATTTGTTTTTGCCGCACTGAACCATCTTGCCAGTCCTAACCAATTTGCGTTTTAACCAGCATCCCTGAAGGTAGCAAAAGGCTGAAACCAACACTGTTCTTAGAATACCTGCCTGCCTCCCCCGTTCCTGCCACTTTCCCAGACAATGCAGGCTTTCCGGATACAGCTTCAGGACAACAGACCAAGGTACAAACACCTTGTTTCTGTGGCTTTGACCTGATCTGTCCTGGATGAAGTGTGGCCTGTGGGATACTGACTCCTTCAGATATCCCCAGTGCCTGGTACACAGGAGATACCCAGTAAAGGATGGCTGAAATAAAATGGGGACGAGGTTGTCACAAAGTCATCATCTTTACCTCTTCTAAAGCTGGGCCAGGCACCTATCTGTTGGCAATCTTACACTCTTGGGGAGGACAGATCCTAGCCTATGTCTAGGGTTGTTTGTGGCTGCTTCTTCCAAATCAGGCCATCTCTTCATTGTCACCCTAGGCAGGACTACTGATCCACATTCCAGGTGGGGCCACATCTCTTGAGACCCTCACAATTGTAAGCTTTGGAATGTGCTTCCTTCAGATCCATTCCCTTAAATGGGTCGTAGTTAGCAAAGCCGGCCTGACCATTTTCCTGGTTAATGGGGCACACTGTTGGTTTCCACTCCAAATGCACTATATTCAAACAGGGAAAAGAGCCTGCTAAAGTTAGGCTTCAGCACATACCTCACATGATTCTGAGTCTGAAGTCTGGAGAGTTGCATTTCTGCAAGCGCTGCTTTTGAAAGCAAATAGGGGTGACCTGCTAGCTTAACTTTCTTTTCTTCTTTTGATGGGAAGTGCTCACTCTCTTTTCCAAGGATCCCTGTGGTGGTTGTAAATGTTTGTCTTCCGGGGATGAGGGGCTACTTGACTTCTGAGCCCACCTTTATGAGTCCTCTGGGGAGCAGCCCTACCTTTCATTGTGAGGCCAGCTGGGGTGCCCAAATGGGTCCTGGGGTGAGCCATCTAGGTTGGCCAGATGTTTTCTCTTGGGCCTGAGCCTGGGACAGATACTGAAACTGAGTGGTTCCTAATTCATTCTAAGAACACAGGTGTTAGTATAACAGCCATATCCAAGATCCAATGTGCCCATCACAATTATACACCAATCAGGGAGCCAGTCACCTGTCCTTTGTTGCTAAGACCGACTATTCATCCCTCCTGCCATGTCCTCTAAGTCACTGTCCCCCAAGAACATCTGTTTGCTGCACGCATGCTAGATTAGTTTGTATTATTTGTAACAAAGCTTCCTGGTTCTTAAAAACAAGGAATGGTTTTTGACAATTGACAAGACCTATTTCCCTCAAATTATAAACAAATTCAATAATATATAAAGTATTATTTTCTTTTTTAAGATTTTATATAGATATTTTGCCTTCACGAGTTTATAGGTGTACCACATGCATACACCTGTTGCCATGGATTCCCTGAAACTGGAGCTACAGACAGTTGCGAGCTGCCTTGTAGGTGCTGGGAATTGAACCCGGGTCTTCTAGAAAAGCAGTCAATGTTCCCAAGCACTGAGCCATTTCTCTAGTTCCTAGTGTTGTTATTTTCAACCTGTCCTTTGGTGTGTTTGTTTACTTCATTGAACTAGAACACAGAGAAATAGTTCAACATATAAATCATAAGGAAGTCCGTAAAAATTTTATGGAACTCTTAAAAGAAAAATATTAAAGGGCCCTGTTAAATAGCAAAAATCCCGTTTTCAAACAGAGCCAGGTCTCTGGTCCCACTAATACTGCAACAATGACTGTTGCTTACATTCTGTACTGTGTAGCCAGTGGGCTTTTGCACAGGGTTGGTGAATTAACACCCTAACAGGTAAAGAACAACATGTGCTGTCCATAAACTTCTAATGCTCCAGGCTAACCACCGTGACTCCTAGGCTCACACAGACAGATGTCAACTCCGTAGTGATCAAAGAGGTAAATTAACAAATGAATGAGAAAAGTAAGTAGTCACCCAAGCTGAACCGTATGAATTTGCCGGTATTCAATTGGCCAATTTTAAACAAAAGTTTTTCTTATGGCCCAACTCAACTCCTTGTTCAAGCTGTTTGGGTCTCTAGCAAACCGGGGCGGAGGGGCCTACAAGGACCTCAGTCTCTCACTCGCTTAACAAAGGACAGCAACCACCCACAAGACACCGAGCAAACCTTTCTCCGTCCGGGCATGAGAGAAGTCCACAACTAAACAAGAGAGCAACAGAGCTGGCTCCCGGAGCAAGCAGGAACTGCAAGAATCGCGGGCACCTTTCCTCCGCTGCCTTTCCCTCCAAGCTGCCCCCGGACGGGTGCCCTCCCTCCCTCATTGCCTCCTTCGCAGGGGCCTCTCCCGGGCTGCTGAACACAATGGAACCGGCTGCGAGGCAGCGCGCGAAGCTAGGAGCCTCCAGGAATCCGAGGTCGCCTGGGGGAGGGGGTCATCCTTGAGACCCGCAGTCCCGAGCGCCATCGCGGCGTTTCCCCTCCGAGTCCCCATTGGGCACGAGCTGAGGATGGGAGCCGAGCTCCTCACAGTCCCTCTCCGACCCGCTCTCGGAAACTCTGCCCGAGCCCGGATCTTCCAGCAGCCACGACAGCTCTGGTTTATCCACACTCCTCTTTGTTGTCCCCGGTCCCCGCACTCCGTCAAGGTATGCCCGGAGCGCCCCTGGTCTCCATCCCTAGGAAAGCCGAAAGTCTCGGCGCTGTGCGACCCGGAGGGCTGGTTGGAGCCAGGGCTTCCAGCCCCGGGTGCGTGCGCTCTGCAACGGCCGCGGGGAGACGGTTTGCTCTTAAACCCCCGTGGCCCTCCGACTCCGACTAGCAGCTCTGTGCGTTGCACATAGATAGCAGACGGCAGCTCAGAGTCCCGCGTCCCCGGGCCTTTCCCGAGGCTCTCCTTACCGCAGAAGAATTCCCAAGACCAGGATGGAGTCTTGAGACTCAGTTCTCTCCTCTCGCCGCCGTTTCCTAGAGCCGGCCAATAGCCTGGAGTCCCGCCGCCGCCTGCTAGCCTCGCCGGAACCCAGGGACCTCCACCCCCTCCACAGGATGGAAGGAGCACCCCAGCAGAGCAATGCCGCACGGAGCAGGCCACCACGGCGGGAAAAAGTTTGCACGCTCTAGCGGGCTCTCCTAGACCCCAGAATCGCCCAGTGACCGGGACTCAAACCACCTTGCAGCCCCTCCAGTTCCCGGAAGGCAATCTAGGCTCCCGCCACCTGCTGTGGAGGCAGTAGGAGGCGCTGGGCGACCTCCTCCACTCCCCCCATCCCTGCTCTGGGTGTTCTAGAAGAGGGTGCGCTCAGCGGGGTTCGCACTCAGAACTACTCACCACTCTGCTCCATCTCCCACCCCTCGGTGCCCTCCAGGCCCAGGCCACCCGGATAGTTCCCACTGCCTGGTTCATGAATTATTTAAAGTCCGGTCTCGGGGCACCACCAGGGTTGCTGGGTGAGAGACCGTCCCGCTGCCCCGCCCCGGTTGGCTAGGGACTCAAGAGGCAGGAGGACTACGGGACCCCAGGACTCTTGAGAACCTGTTGCGTCCTCCTGGGTGCCCCTGCGGACATCTAGGAATGGAACTAAGAGAAAATATCGACACCTTCAGAAACAATACTTACCCATGGTTGAGCTCTAGGCCAGGTGACAGGGTCTCTACCAGGCTCAGTAATTTAAAGAGCACTAAGCCTAGGGCTCTGGGAGCTCTCTGATTGGATATTCTGAGCGGCTCGGCCACAATGCCCTGGGGACACCCACAGGACAGCAGTTATTTCCTGCTGAAAGCCCTACTGAGCACCAGAACAGACTTCTGTGTCACCTAATCCTAAATCGCTCCTTGGAAGGAGACTAATTCCTAAAGTCTTTTGCTTCCACGCTCTTTTCTTGGCCTTTTTAGACAAGGTTACTGGAGCCCAGTGCATTTTATTAAAAACAAAAACTAAAGCAAAGACAAATTATGGGACCGGGATGTTATCTCTGTTCCATCAGGGGTGGAGACTACTTTTTATCGACTCACATTCCTAGATCCAACCAAATGTGGATGGGAAATAGACTTGGGGAAGAATAACACCATTGGGATATTCCTACCAGCAAAACATGCTTACTCGATGTGCATGGGTGGTTAGGTGGATAGACAGATAGAAGAATGAATGGCTGGGAAGATGAAAGGTATATGTACAAATCAACTTCTCTAAAAGATGTATTTTATTTATGTGTATGAATGTTTTGCCTGAATATATGTATGCATGCATACAAGCATGTGTACCACCTGACTGTGGAAGGCAAAAGAAGGTGTTGACATCCCCAAAGCTAGAGTTACAAGCTACTGTGAGCCACCTTGTGGGTGCAGGGAATTGAAGTCAGGTCCTCTGCAAAAACAACCAGCCGATCTCTCTGACCCGGACAAATGAACCTTCTCATTTATTCATTCTTTCACCTCAAAATCTGCACAAACTGAGGGGTGAAACCCTTCCTAGAGCTGAAGCTGACCGTGAGTGTGCATATTTCCAAGTCAAGAGATGGGAGTGCAAAAAGATCCCTGAGAAATCCCACAGTGATGTGGCCGGAAATGTTAGGGTCCCAGGGGCGTTTAACATTTTCAGTTACCTCCTTTTCAGTCTCTGGTGTTCCCAGGCCCCCCAGCTTTTCTGCTCAGAGGCAGACATTCCACTAATGCTGGTGTTACGGGAGACAGCTCTCTTGAGAGCAGCTAGCTGGCCCTGAGCTGCAAATTTTAGCAGCATAGACACTGATGGCCTCTGTCCCTCTGACTCTCAGCCTCCGTGTCTGCAAAAAGTCAGGAGGGTGACCTACTCATTTTCCTTCCTAGTAGCATCCACAAAGTAAGAGCAGTGGTATGATGGGGCTCTAGGCCATGTATTCTGAATGAATTTTTATAGAACCTTAACAACGAGAGCATTCTGAAATCCTATTAATGATTAACGATAGTGATGTAGGTTTAATAACTCGCCTGAGGTCACAAAGTTAAAGAAACCCCAAATCTGAACACAAGGTCTGTCCTCCAACACCCAGAAAACAGGTGAAAAGTGTCTCTGACAAATGCACATGAAATGAAAATGGCTAACTATTAATGTGTGGCTTTTTCTCAGGAGATGTGAGCAAATGACCGTTCACTCCAAACAGGGCATTCGTCGATAATAAACCAAAGAAGCATTTCTTCCTAAATCTAGCTTGGTGAACTAAATAGTTTTTTGGGGGGTTCCTTAAAGGAGTGTGGATAACTCAAAGGTGGTTACATTAACAGAAAAGCTCAGCCTAGTGTGGGTGCCCCCATGAAAGAGCTATATTGCTGGAGCTCAGGGCATAACTTGCAAGCAGCTCCAATGAAGACTAGAGCAATTGTGTAATGCTGCCCTGGGGCCTTGTGAGTCTTACAACTTTCTGAGCTTTGCTGAGCCCTACCCTCCTCCCTGCAGGAAGGGCTATTTCAAGTCAGAGGAAATGGCCACACAACCATCTGCCTTCACATTACCTAGGACACTTAATGCTTCAATAGTTCCTTGAATTTTCATATCTTACCTGAACCTATTATACCTGAACCACTGTATATATTCAACCTGAACACACAAACCAGTAAGATGTAACCTTGATAGCCTTAAGCAAAAAAGACAGCTCAGTAGTTACACCCTCCTGCTGCTCTTGCACAGGATACAAATTTAGTTTCCAGAACCATATAGATGGTTCACAACTGCCTGTAAACCCAGCTCTAGGTCTCTTGAAATGTCACCTTCTGGTCTCCTCGGGCAACTGCACTCAGGTACACAAACATACTGCTACACATAATTTAAAATAAAATAGTTTTTAAATGTTACAAGGGTTATATGGCTTTAGAATGAAGCATTGGGTAGGGGGCATTATAGCTCAGTAGAAGAGCATGTACTTAGCGTGGCTGAGGCTCGCATTCTAGCAGCACATAAAGAGAGGAGGAGGAGGCATGCAGTCATAATGACACATGCCCATAATTCCAACACTGGAAAGACTGGCATATTCGAGGTTGGCATGGGCTACAAAAAATGCACAATTTAGCCATTGCCAGAATACACAAAAATCAATATTCAATAGTCCTTTCCTTAAAATGATACTGCTTAGCCCACTGGTGGTGGCACATGCCTTTAATCCCAAGCACTTGGAAGGCAGAAGCAGGCAGATCTCTGTGTTAGAGGCCAGCATGGTCTACAGAGTGAGTTCCAGGACAGCCAGGGTGATACAGAGAAACCCTGTCTCAAAACAAACAAACACAACACAACACAAAATCAAAAAACAAACAAACTTGTGGTTTCAGGTATTCTTGCAGTCACTAAAGCAAAACATTCTTGGGACTAATTATTCTAATTACCCTGACAATTTCTACCATGAATGAGGGTGTTCTGAAAGGAACACAGTCACTTTTCAGATTCCCTAGGCAGTGCTGCCTTAGGGGTCTTCGAAGACAGCTAGTCGTCTCCATGGTAAAGCTGAGCAAAGGGGGCTAGCAGAGGCTGTAGCAGCTCAGCCTGGGGCCGTTTGCTGTCTGTACCCTGGAGCTTATTTTTTTCACTTACTTGGGGTTTAAGAGGGATGCTGACTCGTAAGTGCCTGAGCGACTATTCTGAGCCTGCCCTGGGGATAAAGGATCACTTGGTCGTCGAGTTTGGGAAGGGACCATAGAAGGCATGGTCCTTGGATGAAACGAAGCTAGAGGGCATAGACTGTGACAGAGTGGAAGGAACTTCTAGTGACCTTTGGATTGGTTATAGCAAAATGAATGCTTTTAGTAATTAAAATAACGATGTTTCATGTGACTCAAAAATGTAGTATCTTATCTTTAGATAAAAGAAGTTTGCATCTCCACGCTGCTCTTAAGAGTAAAATTTGTGTAACAGGTAGCCAGGGAGTGAGGAAGAAGGAAGCAGGAAGAGAAGGAAAAAGGCAAAAAGAAAAGCGGTGGCAGCACTGAGTAGCTTCAAGAGAGCCAACATTTTCCTGTAAATATTTTCTTGCATGATTTCCTGTTCCTCTTGCTTTTCTCTACCTTCTGAGCTGGGCTGCCAACAATAACATCACTAGTGTTTAATAACCAAAAGGCAATAAAACATTCCTCTTCTACTTCAGGTGTGACCTGTGCCTGATCCACCAGGCCGGTCCACCACCTAACTCAAGGGGAGAGAGAGAAAGCTTTCACACAGTGAAAATAAAGCAGACTGAAGAGCCGGACAGAGCAAGGGAAAGACAGCAGGGTCCTGACTTCAAAGGTGGGGAGCTTTGGAAAGCAGTGGTTTAGTGGGCGTGGTTGCCCAGTGCTGTTGTGTTTTGTGCTTGGGAGTCTACCTTCCAGTCAATAACTGTTTCAGATTCCTGGTCCTTAGAAACAGTTCTCATCTCAGGTGATAGTAATAAGCCCTACATCAAATGGGGCATTTATCTTTAGCAATCAATTAATTTACCTTTAATAACCAATGAAGACAATATGAGTCACACTGTGTGAGGGCATCCCACCACCATACTTGACTTTGCAAGGAAGAAGAGGCTCCAAGAGAGAAATGGCTACATGAGGTAGGTGCCAAGTCTGTCACTCTCAATTCTAAAGCAGGCAGTTGTCCTAATCCTCTTGGAGTTCAGCCAGGAACTCAACAACCCACAGCTAAGTCCTACCTGTGCTGACCAATGTGTTTCCCTCTTCCTTTAAAGAGTTTCTCATTTGCGCTCCGCCTTGACAGCTGAAAGTTGACAAGCTTTTCATCTGTAAAAAATATTCAGTTCAGGTTTCCAATTGCCCATATACATGCCATCCTTCAAATCATTCTTTAAACTAGTCCAGTTACAGCCTCTTGGTGGACGCCTCATTAATCTATGAACTCAGCAAATGCTTTCACACTCACTGTGTATTTGCACAAGTGTTGAGTTTCTTTATTCCTTGACAATTATAACTTAGAAGTCCTACTGGGGCTTATTATCCCTGGGGAGACAAATAGCAAAGTTTTATATATTATACAACTGAATTTTAAAATTAGACTATATGAAGGAAACTTGAACCCCCATGGTTACTACTAAACAATCTTAAGGAGACTCTAAAACGGACCTAGGATTGTAGCAGCTGTTTCTTTGCTAGGGCAGAATTGCTGCATATACACATTAGAGGTTCGGGTCATGCTTCCTTCTAAGTCTCTCCCACAACCCCATCAAGACAGTCTTTCACTCAATGTTTGAAGCAGCTGGTGGAAACAAAGGGAAAAAGAGGAAGAGCTAGATTCCAGTGAACTCCCTTTGACTACTGGGAACACAGGAGGATTTCTTGTGTTTCCTTAGCAAGCATGGCAGATGTATTCAGTTGTGTTTTGCTCTTTCTGTGAAGGGGCAGATTGAAGCCAGGACTTCATCGTGTTAAGCCACACAGCACAAGCATGAGGTATGTGTTGGCTGCGTTTTTGTCAATTTGGCACAAGTTGGAGTCATCCAAGAAGAGGGAACTTCAATAGAGAAAGTGCACCCATCAGATTGGCCTTCAGGCAAGCCTGTGGTGCATTTGTCTGATTGACAGCTGATGTGAAAGAGCCTAGTGCACTGTGGGTAGTGTCATCCTTGGGCAGGTGGTCCTGAGGTAGATAAGAAAGCAAACTGAACAAGCAAAGGTGAGGAAGTCAATGGGCAGCATTGCTCCATGGCTTCTTCAATTCTTGCCTTATGGTTTCTCCCCTGAGTCCTTGACCTGACTTCACCCAGTGATGAACCTGGAAGTGTAAGATGAAATAAACCCTTTCCTCCACAAGTCACTTTTGGTCATGCTGCTTATCAACAGAAAGCAAGGTAAGTTCTTAAAGCAAACTGGTTCTGGTTTTTTTTTTTGTCATCGTAATATTTTTATTGATTCTTTGGGAATTTCACATCATATACCCTGATCACATTCATTTCCCAGTCCTTCCATGTCTGCTCTTTCTCACCCTTGTG